AATTATGGTGTACTTTGACAAAAGAACTTTTCATAGGAAAAATACGTAAATGTTTACAGTGATTTAAAGGGCTTATAAGAAACACGAAACGAAGTATCAGTCTTATTTTATACTTATGGTTTCACGAATGTTTTAATATTAATTTTTTTTAAGATAACGTTTCTTGAGATGGTCCCTTCTTTGATACGTGCACATTTCAAGAATTATTAACTAACGAAATCCTTTTTTTTCTGAAGACATTATCCTCTCAGCTTGTCAAATTCCCCTTATTTTTGTAAACAGAAGGTTAATTATCGTAATCACAAGAACCCCCCCCCCCCTTGAAACCAGATTCACTGATCTTTCTCTGGCCCCTTGCCTGTTTGTCCCATGTGCTCTTATGTCTCAGAAGAATGCTTTTTTAATATTTGTGTTTACACAAATTTGTGAAAACGTAACACTAGAAACTGTTTTAATGGTAGAGACGACAGTAGTCAATATGACTTCAATTCTAAGGATTTTAAGACAAGTAGTAACTTCCGCGAAATCCGCACATTTTTTTCTTTTGAAATCTGTTTTCTTACGTCAAACGCGATACCCAAGGTTGTTATTACGTAGTGACTTACTTTCTCGTTTCACTTACGTAATTTCTCCAGAATTAATTTCTACGAACGTTCCCAATTTGGTATATATACACGCGAACCAATGTTTCTCTTTCAATTCTGTAGGTTTGTCTTCTAAATTTCCCTCCACAAACAATTCGCTTGTTTTCTGTAATCTGGCCTTTGCTCTGTTTCTTTTATTTCCGTCTGCTTTGTTGCCACTTCGTTGCTACGTTCCTTCTCCGGCTTCAGTTTGCTTTATCGACATTGCTACAAAGATAAAAGAAATTGTAAATGAAAAGAGTTGGAAATGTTTCCTCACAAGTTTTACAGTTGGATACAGTCTGGTGGAGTTAAAAATTCTCAGACTAACACGGGCTGAGGAAATGGAATGAAATGGTATGTTTATGTCCCATGAGTATAAGAATTTCAGAGTTTCTTACATTAACATTTGTAGTTGGAATGTGGCCCCACTTAATGCAAACATCTGAAACAACGACGCAAATTGTAGCAGTGATGTTATGAAAACAAGTTACTGAATGATCGTTCTATTCTTTAAATATCAATATCATAGATTTCTTTGTCGTGCATTCCGAAATAGGGTTTACCTTTTAAACCTGAAGCTTATCTAAATGATATTAAAAAAATTTGGTCCGTACCGCAAAGAAAACAACTTTTTACATTACGAATATTAGCTGGTCAGTGCTTTTTTCAGGAAATAGTCGCGATGTAGACAAAACACAAAGTTGTCGAATGTTAAATAGGTGGTACATATACTTACCACAAGGCTTTAAGTGGTTCATGCGCAAAGCAGTCAAGACTATATACCATGTATCTAGTCAGTCAGTCAGTTTAGATCAGCGGTATTCAACCTTTTTTGTTCGCGTACCCCCAGATATAATTTCTTTTCAACTCTGTACCCCCAAAGTTGTTGGTGTATAATTCAAGTTATACATAGTATATAATCTATATCTAAAATATATTAAATAAATTACATTACTGATTATATAATCTACATCTAAAATAAATTAAATAAATTACATTACTGATTATTCAGTGTTTATCATAAAATAATATTTTTTTTAAATTTCACGTACCCCCTAAGATGTCTTCGCGTACCCCCAGATATAATTTCTCTTCAACTTTGTACCCCCAAAATTGTTGGTGTATAATACAAGTTATACATAATATATAATCTACATCTAAAATAAATTAAATAAATTACATTACTGATTATTCAGTGTTTATCATAAAATAATATATTTTTTTAAATTTCACGTACCCCCGGGGGTACGCGTACCCCAGGTTGAATACCACTGGTTTAGATTAATGTAAGTAGTATAATTTCTTTAAATCGTAATAAATATCTCATAACTTCCAGCGTTTGTCCAACAAGTCAGTTTAACTACAAGTGATTTATTGAGTTTTATTTGTGAAGACTATTAAGAAGTTGCCAGTTATCTGTTAGTGTAATTAGTGTATCAAACTACACATACGTCTTATTTCATGCTCCTTATTATGGTTAATGTCTATTGAATAGACTATTATGCCATGAATTCTACACCATCTTTAATTAATTTTTGTTTTGCCATAATTCACCTCATTTCTTGGTTTAAAAGTCATCGATTATCTTCTTTATTTCGACATAAGCAGCGCAAAACGATGTTCAACTTCTGTTCGCATTATATAGAAGCTTTATGAGTCGAAAACTACCATCGGCAATGTTTAGCGACCGTCACGTGACGTTTTCACGCGAGTGACTTGTCATGTCCTGCGATATTTTATGGGATACGTTGCTAATAAAAATGTTCAGATTCATGATCTTCTTATAATGTCGACAAGTTAATGCTTTAAAATATGTATTAAAATAAGTTCATTTCTGTTTTGAAGTCTTCCCCTTTCAGAATCATCGTTAAGACATGTATCTCGCATATTATACGTTTAAACACCAGCGAAAGACAAATTAAAATTATTTTTTGTATAGCCTACTTTTCAAATAAATGTCCCAATTTCATTTAAACAAAACTAAGTTAACCTGTATAAAATGTTACTAATACCAATGCTCCAAAGGAATGTTTACATTTCCCTCACCGTATTGTCAAAATTATTTCAAGCTCGGAAGTTTGAAGTGCCCTCTGTGATTAAGGAATGTTTACATTTCCCTCACCGTAATGACAAAATTATTTCAAGCTCGGCAGTTTGAAGTGCCCTCTGTGATCAGGTCAATTGAAATTGTCATTTGCGAGATCTAATTTAGTGCGTATTAAGTCTTACCTCAGAATTTAAAATAACTATGAGTACTGATAAATATGTTTATTACTGAAGTAACGTTTAACTACATCAAATTATTTATTACAGCGCAGTGGATTAAGCTCTGAACTTTATCTTAAATTTTGTGCTAATTTACTTTCGAGTTATTCGTCTTAAGATTATACTTTATACCTTACAAAAAGCCCCATGTCTGAAAGAATTTCTTTTTCTGGTTCTGACGCTGTGTAGATTTTCAAGTAGGTACCAACATTTCGAATAAACAAGATTCATCCTTCTTCAGGACCTTATACTAACATTTGTTACCATATTCAGTGTTGTTCATGTCGGAGAACAGGAGGGCGACTTTCTATGCGCGGAAATGGCCTTGTAGAAATTCATAGTTAGACACTCCGCCTACGCAAATGTTACTGACCTCGGACGAACGACGTCATTGGAGCCATTCACAAAGGTCGAAGGTCATATTGACAAAACAGCCTCACATAATTTTAGATCTGGTTTATTCCGATTGACTGAGGAAACCCGTGACAGGTTCGTTTGTATTTGGAAAGATTTTTTTGCCTGAGGGAATTATT